CAGCAATAGGTACTCCGTCCTACATGGCTAAATTTATCATACATTGTTCTCAAACAAGATACTCTAAATGTTACATTCCATCCAACTCTACAGGAGACGCAGGTGGGACTGAAACAAGCCGTATCTAGTGAGGCTTCTGTTCTATTAAAATAATGGAACTCGGGTTGGAATTGGCTACTGACATTGGAGTACAGATGGCAACTTGTGCCCAGGAATATGATTGTCAGTACATTTCATAAAGGCTTGGTATGTGCCATTGAGAATAAATTGAAATGGCATATGCCTCAGCTGTGACCTTGTAGTGTATCAGGCACTCCAGCCTTTTGACACAGACTTAATTTTTTCTAAGGATGACAAGTTAGTTGTAACTAAAGAAGCATGTTTCCACCTTTGTCTTGATTCTGTCGTTTGCAGAATGAAGATAGTGTCTCCAACCTTGCATTAAGCATTAGTATCTTAGGAATGGCCCTACAGTAGATTTTGTCAGCCAATTTCAGCATAAGACAGTGGAGTGCACGAGTGTTGTGTAGCAGATGAACTGGAGTCTAAGAACACTGAGTGCACGGGTGTTGTGTATTAGACGAACTGGAGTCAGTCTAAGAAAAGTGGAGTGCACGAGTGTTGTGAAGCAGATGAATTGGAGTCAGTCTATGAAAAGTGGACTGCAAAAGTGTTGTGTTGCAGATGAACCTGAGTCAGTCTAAGAAAAGTTGACTACTCAAGCGCATTTTGGGGAGGAAGTCATTATGCTTTCATTTGTGCCTCTTTTTAATTTAAACAAACAAACACGCATTTGGTCATGGACATACGTTTAACAAATAGAGAAAATATTTTCTGTAATGTGGATAATTTGTTGTTATTCTAGTTACATACTGTCTTGAGTTGCTCTCTTTGGTTCCACTAGATTTCTCCTGCAGAAGACGTAATTGTGGAGGTACATAGAGGTTTATTGATACCTGGAGGCTATGTACTCTGTATATTTAATGACGCATAGCATTCTGTGAGAGATTATCCTATTATGTTTTCTGTATAATGATTCTCTCCAATGCTGATGAAACTTTTGTGTAAACATTACCATTTGAATTGTTTTCTTTTGTTTAATAAATACTTACATGTTGCACAACCAAATTTTGTTCACTTTCTTACTTCAGTTAGGCCGAGTAGGAAACTCACTTTGACTTTTCCTCACATTTTTTTATGTGTCGCTAGTTATTGTGGTTATTTTTTTCTCTAAAGTAAACAGTGTACCTGAGAACACCACACACCTAATTTACATCCAAAATAACTTTTCCTTTTTAGTTTGCCCCCAATTGCACAGCGTTATGTCTGTGGACTTAGAATGCTACAAACCGGGTTTCGATACCCGTGGTGGGCAGAGCACACATAGCCCATTGTGTAGCTTTGTGCTTAACTACAAACAAACCTTTTTAGTTTAATTTCTCATGTTTCTTTAATTCATTTATTTTTTATGCCGTTTACACCTTCTTTATTTCTGTTATTTATTTTACTATTTCTCACTGTTCCCGGTGTTTGAACAGTAATCTTGATGGTTTATTATGTCTAAAAACAAAGTTCAGTCCTTGCAGTAGGCACAGTTCAGATAGTCAGCTGTTCAATTTTGTGCTCACACAAAAACAAACCAACTTTTTCATTGATTACTATAACCTCTCACTTCTCACCAACGCTTAGATGTTATCATTTCTTGTTTATTTTTGCTTTACTTAACTAAACTTATTATTTTCTATATGATTGTTATAATTCATACATTTTTCTCTCGTATCTTTCTTTTTTTTTCGTTCTTACCAATTACTGTTTAATTGTTATTAAAATCATTATTGCTATTCTTACTATATGTATATATCTTTCTTCATTCACAATTAATTTTTGGCCTGGATTAATTTTTCACGAATGTTTATAATCACTTATTTATTTCATTAACAACATTTTATTAACAGTATTAAAGTATCCGCGATTCACTGCATGCTATATATACCCCAATTACTCAATTATTTTGTTGCTGTTCCAATTACTATTATCTTAACACTTTTATTAGCAAAACTTAGACACCACAGGATGAAGGGCGTAAGCCAAAATGTAGTGAAAATAATTTACACACAATATCCGCCCGGCATGGCCAGGTGGATAAGGCGCTCGACTCGCAATCTGAGGGTCGCGGGTTCGAATCCCCTTCCCACCAAACATGCTCGCCCCTTTCAGCCGTGGGGGCGTTATAATGTGACGGTCACTCCCACTATTCGTTGGTAAAAGTGTAGCCCAAGAGTTGGCGGTGGGTGGTGATGACTAGCTGCCTTCCCTCTAGTCTTACACTGCTAAATTAGGGACGGCTAGCGCAGATAGCCCTCGTGTAGCTTTGCGCGAAATTCAAAAACAAACAAACACAATATCCTGCACACACTGACTGCTAGTAAAGTGTCATCCTATCATGTTCTAAGAGACCACCCACTACATTTACGCGGTGTGTTTTCCGTCACATGGAAGGACAGCGGTAAGTCTACTGACTTATAACGCAAAAATCCAGGGTTCGATTCCCCGCGGTTGACACAGCAGATAGCCCAATATGGCTTTGCTCTAAAAAACACGAACAAGCTGGTTTTTTTTCGTTAATTTCTTACGGTAAAGTTGTGACCGTCGAATATCAGTCGTTTTCATATTTAGCTCATATGTTCATCGAAGTAACTTTTTAGCAGGATTCTAAAAAATGATTTAGAAATGAGTATAGTTCAAAACAGATATTTACTAATTAATTTGGTTTGTTTGGAATTATGGCCATTCTAATTAATAATTAAGTTTAGTTGTTTGTATAAGATACTAACCACAACAACACCTGTCTTTTCTAAGCAAACGCTGACTTGAAATGTGAATTTCAGGACAATTATAATTCTACATTAAAAGTATTATCTTGAATGATAGTAGAAATAATTGTGGTATCATCAATATATATAAAAGCCAAGTGTCGGTCGGTCAGTCAGTCGGTCAAGCTCAAATTCTCTGAATTTCGTGAATTACACAAGTCCAATTCCACATTTTCTTCTATAATACTTCCTCTTTTGATTGCCCGTTCCCATTTTAGTTAAATTTAATCGCTAATATAGGCGTAAGTAGCGTCTACATTTCGGCACTTGTTCTGCTACATAAATGCTGTCAAAGAGGGAGCTCCCACCACCAGATCAGGCATGGCCTTATGTGTGTGACACCACATCATTATGACGTCAAGCAACGTAGAATCCGAATAGGAAGACCGGAAATACTTCTGTGAAAAATAAGTCAAATATTAGCGCAAGTCTATGCCTGGGATTATTACGAAAAAGTCTTTGTTAAAACAGACTGAAGATAACAATTATTTGTAGGGAAGAGGACCCCTTTTCCTCAGAAGAAGAACAGGTGTATACATAATTAAATGGTCGTCGTATGTTTTAATCTTTTATGCAAAGGCACCAATATATAGCATGTTTACACTCGTCAGGTACAGGAGATATTGCTCATGATACGTTTTGGTTTCCTGAAGCTAGAAAACCCTTTGTTTTTCTTGTCTGTTTACACACGGCAAAGTTGCAAATGCATATTGGAGGGTTCGTATTTGGCAGGCTTTGGTTTCCCGTCATTTTTGATGGGTTTTATAATAGTTGTTAAGTAAAAAGTTAATGCAGATAAGTCGCAACTGCTTTAACCAGAGTAAAGCTAAGTCCTATCTAGCATTAATACAATGTGTTTATTTCTCCTGGAACCTGTAAGGAAACTCCAAGCCTGACTGGCCCAAACAAAGGAGTTTGGTTTCGAAGATTTGCTTTAGTTCCGATATATCTGCTCTTTTAATTGAAGCGAAAAAAATATTTCAATTTATGATTGTAGTTTTGTTTTATAAAATTACCTAGTACCCATTGACATCGCTTAGCGTTATTTCGGAACATTTCTTTAATAATTGTAATCAAAATAATTTTTAACTTTTACGAGTAGATTATTACGTCAGAGATAATTTTGTATTTCTTTTATAACAAGTCAGATGAACAGGTGCTTCTGGGTAATCATTTGTATTGTTGTTAAGCACACAAAGCTACACAATGGGCTATATATTCTGTGTCCATCACAGGCATCGTCGGAATTTTTGTATTTTAAGGTGATGTTTCTGGTTATGAAAAGTATCGAAGAAATCCATTAATCACATCATATCCTATGATAATTTGCAAGAAGAAAAAAGTGGCAACGTTATTTTACTTAACTGGTTTCCGTTGTCATGGATACCTGTGGTGGGCAGAGCACAGATAGCCCATTGTGTAGCTTTGTGTGCTTAACTTCAACCAAACAAAACATATTCATACTAATAGTGTGTACACTTGTGTTAAGAAACTGGCACTATATTTCTCGTTTTTCGAACTTCTTACTAATTAATCTTCAGTTAAAGCTCGTTAGTGAAAGATATGCTTTAATCTAACTCTTGCTTCATACTATATACTATTGCATTATTTTTATTTTATTTATTTCTACGAGATTTATATACTGAGTTATAAGAGTTTTCATAACGATTGCGTGTTAATTAGTTGCAAGTAATGTTGAGATGTTGAACTACATAACTGACAACATTGCATATATTTTGAACAAGTCATACAACTAGGAATTTTAGTATTATCTAGTATCTGTGTTGACCAGTAAATGGACATGTTTTCACTTTCTTCTGTAAGATGACCGAAAGGCTTACATGCAGTAGTTTCTACAAAACGGTTATTTTTAGTACTCTCACTAACATGTTTTGTGTATTTACTTGTATTTTCTAGGAAATGAGTCACAGACCAGTAAAGAAGTAAAAACATTTAACAAACACATCCTACTTTGTTACTGATAATCACTAGCCAGCTAGCCAATCAGAAAGAAAAAACTCTTCCGTGTTGTCTGAAGCAAAATGATGGTCTGTAAACGCTAGGTGAAACGAACTCACACGCTCCGTGTCATCATTTACGCATGCGTAGTATAATTTGCACGTGAGACTGGTTAAAAGATAAAATGACCGTGCGGACTGTATGTTCAGAGGTATTGGGTGAAGACCCGGGTTTTAGGAAAAGCTGTTTGAAAAGCGTTCTGGGTGCTTTTCGATCATGTTTTTGGGCTCCAGCTGCGCATCTAAAGAAAGAAGAAGTCAAGATGGACTGTTCAGTGGAAAACTGTGCGCTTGTTCATGGAATTTCGTCCGTTAAACTGACCAACCTCACCAACAGTAAACAAGTCTATGACACCTTACATCTCCGTTCACAGGTAAAGTAAAGCATTCAGTATTAAGTATTTTAAATTGATATAAACAATGTTGGATTTCATATTCTGTGGTCGTAAGATCCTGCAGCTCTGAATCAGTTAACTTGTCACATCTTTAAAGCTATTGATACAATGCAACAGGCGATATTTAAAGTGTACTTTTACCATAAATCATTCTAACGCTTTCTGCAAGAGAAAATTTTGCAATTTAGAAATCCATGTTTTCTGTCCACGTAAAGTAAAAACTATATAAAAATGTAAATACAGTTTTCATTACTACGTATTTCATTATTTTTAAGCTATGCGAAAATCTTATAGAAGTTTCTTTTGATTTCCTATACATATTTGCACAAAAAAACGAAGATTAAATTTTGGTATGACAAAAGTTGTTATAAACTAAATATCTATACAATTTAGACATTCCATTATTAGCATAAAAACCTAAAACCGTGATTATATACATTAACTATTGACAATCAATAACACTGTTCGATATTGAATAAAGTTGTTTAAACATTTGTTTAACAACATGTAAAAGTTTGGAACGGTCTATTCTTTCATTGGGGGTATGTCTGTAAGCCAGACTAGTTTCGGAGAATTCCACTTCTCAACAGTGACCCTAGGCACTACCACCAATGAAATATGAGACCAAACCTTTATAGTGGTGAGGTATCGAAAATCGAACTGGTACATTTAAGTGTTTTACACTCACAAAAAATAAACCTATCATTCTATAGGTATTTGAAGAACTTCTAGCATTCCGCCACACTTTACTTCTTCGTATTGTTAGCCGACACTAGGCAGCTGGTACATAATTGAATAGAGTTGTTCGATACCTCACTACTATAAAGGCTTGGTTTGGTCTCATATTTCATTGGTGATAGTGTCCAGGGTCACTGATGAGGAGTGGAATTCTCCGAAACTAGTCTAGCTCACAGACACACACCCCAATGAAAGAATAGACCATTCCAAGCTTTTACTTCTTGTTAAAGAAATACTTAAAGAACTCTATTCAATTATGTACCAGCTGCCCAGTGTCGGCTAACAATAGGAAGAATTAAACTGTGGCGAAATGCTACAAGTTCTTCAAATATCTATAGAATGATAGGTTTATTTTTTGTGAGTGTAAAACACTTAAATGTACCATTTCGATTATTCGATATCTTCACAGGTTATTAATTAGTGTAAATCTCATTATTACGTTTGATGTCCCGATCCCCCTGTCCGACTCTGTGACCTATCTTGGCATTGTCTTTGATAGGCATTTTACTTGGAAGCCATACCTATCTGCACTTTCTGCTAAGGTTTCTCGTCGCCTTCATCTCCTCCGTTCTCTCACTGGTACCTTCTGAGGCCTGAAACTTCCACTTCTGCTAATCACATACAAGACATTTATCAGACCCTGCTTAACCTATGGACATACAGTCTGCATACCTTCTACTCTCGTCTCAAGGTTTTGGAGCGCCATGCCCTCCGGCTCGCCTTTTGTGTCAAACTCCCTAGTCCCACTTCCGACCTTTATCGCCGTATTAACTTTCCTCACATTCTGTTACAGCTTCGCACTCGCTATGTTTATATCTGTTTTCGTGACCACAATCTCATTTTCTCCGATGTTCTCGCCACCACTATACACACTCCGAGAAGTATTTTGGCACCAGCTGATCACCTACCGAACCTCTATGTTATGTCTCTTCCAGCTGACAATCCCGATGTCCCCTCTTCTCCCATTTATTTATCCTGATTCCTAATACTCGCAAAACCCGTTGCCAGTTCCCACACTATCTCCATTATGTGATATAGACTGATCAGTGTTCACTCATATTTCTCCGGATTGTCTCCTCCATTTGCACATACTGCGTTTTCCCCATTTTCCGCCTCCTGTGCTGACTTGCAAGCTTACCCTCCTATTATTCATTTTTACCATTTTTCCTTTTTCGTCGCATATGTTGTTGTTGTTGTCTCATTATTACCTATTTATCCTTTGCGACTGAGTGCGAATGTTAAAAATTTGTTAATTAATTTGTGAAAGCAAAATCAGGAGGTAAATGTACACATAAAACCGATTGTTTATTTTAAGAAACCAATCAAATATTAGCCTTCGTACAAATCATCTTATTGAGACAACTCCCCATGATAAGTGTACAAGGCTATGGAATTGGAATTGTCAATCCAAGTGGCACTTACACGCACCAGGCTGAACTGTCAGAATAGAGAACACTAGAACTCAAGTATAGACGTCCCTAATTTTGAACCACAGAAATTGACTCTTACTTTTATTACATGTTCACAGTGAAAGCACACACCGTGTTTGGCGGTATTGCGACTCGAACCTCAGACTCTTCGATCCGCAGACCGACACGCTAAAAACTATAGGCCATGTCCGACCCAGTAAAGTTATAAGTATGACAATATAATAGCTAATCGTCACTCATTAAAGTCCTCCATTCTTAAAAGTTGGAGCCTCCTGGTTGCAAAGTTGTAACTCTAATGGTAACTGTAGAGTTTCGGTACTCACGGTGGGCATAGCACAGATAGCCCACGTGTAGTTTTATACTTAATAAGCAAAAGTTAAGATTCAGCCTAATAAATACATATATTTTAGCACTTTTTATGTGTTCGCCAATGTCTAACCAAAATTTAGTAAGGTAACTGAGCTCATATACGCACAAAAAAAAATATTTTTTAAGCGTTTGTATTCATGGCGAACGTACTGTATTAAGGCAATCTGCTGATATTTTTAACTTTGAACTACTGGCCAGCGGGAAGGCAGCCACTCAGCAACGCCCTATTGCTCACCATACACGCTAATGGGTTGACTGTCACTCTTATAACGCACTTACAACATAAAGGGCTGGGAATATCTTGCGGTATCGAGATAATTCCAATCAGACTGGCCTTGACTGTGAACCTGAGGATTTCTGATTTACGTCCCATTGCCGCAAAATCGTGCTCCAAACGTTGGAACTCTGGATGCACTATAAGAGTAACAATTAAATCCCATTATTCCTTCACACAATAGTAGCCAGAGAGTTGGTGGTGGCCGGGTGCTTTTGACTAGTTTTTGGCCTTCCCTTAGTCTACCAGTCCAAAACTAGATATGGATGCGTCGACAGCCTTTTGTGGAACTTTAAGCAAAAACTACAAAACAAGAACAGGGTTCAATGATCTCATCTATCGTAGAATGCGCGTGATCAAGCATTATAGATTCTTACTATTGGCTTTTTTTAAAACATTCCCAGTAGTCTGTAACCTCTTCTTTTGGAAATTCATAATGTATTCACTTATTTACCACACTTCATATTAGTAACTTTCCTGTTTGGTGTGACACATATTCAAGGGATGACCATTGTATTTATAACTTTCTTGTCTGGTGTACCACATATTCAAGAGCTAACCATTATATTTGTATCTTTCCTGCCTGGTGTGCTACATTTTCAAGGGCTGACCATTATATTTGTATCTTTCCTGCCTCGTGTGCCACATGTTCAAGGGCTGACCATTATATTTGTATCTTTCCTGCCTCGTGTGCCACATGTTCAAGGGCTGACCATCATATTTGTATCTTTTCTGCCTGGTGTGCCACATGTTCAAGGGCTGACCATTATATTTGTATCTTTCCTGCCTCGTGTGCCACATGTTCAAGGGGCTGACCATTATATTTTTGATACCAATGTATATATTTATATTCGAAATATATTTTTTGTCAGAAGTCATTGTGAATTTTAGTTCACATAAACAATTTTTTATCTGTGTTATACAGAATACAAAATAACGGAGTGTATAATTTGTATATTTGTTTATTTTTGCTTTCACCGCAGCCAATCGCATGCAACTCACACTGCTGCTGCGGTTCGTTGGTGTCCGGCCAATCAGGAGCCAGACCTCCAGGCAGTGCCCGGCCGCCGCAAGAGATGCTACAACAGGCAAAGGAATTTTTAGAACAGTACTATGTTTCGAGGAAATCGTAAGTGTCCACTTTTGTTAATGTTGCGGGTTGATCCCTAGGAGTAGAGCTCTGGTGAGACGGGTTTGAATTCGTGAGACACAACAACAGTTTCCTCTCGGGCTGCTGTGACAGTCAATCCCTTAGCGTGGATGATAGGGTGCTGTTGCATAGTAAAAATCTCATTATGAAACGTTATACACGACGCACTATCACATTTTTTTTCAAAACATATAAAACTAACATTAAAACCAGATGCTATTTCGTAAGTAATTGTACCGTCAGGGATAAACGTATTATACCTCATTAGGTCTTACTTCATTGATTTATTAGTACAGAAACCAGTACGAGTAGCAAGCTATTTCAAGTCTACCTTTAAAGCTTTAGAATCCAGTAACTGTTAAGTTTTGACAGGATGTGACACGATTATCTTTTCAAACGAACGTGAAATCTCACGTTATAAATGATTTTCTCCTAATAGATAAATAGCACGGGGATTACGAGCTTTACTGTCGAATTAGAATAGCTACACTTATTTTCGTGAATATAAATCTGAAAGATAAAGCAGGAGGAATGTTACTTGTAAACATAGTCATGCTACAAACTTTGTACATTATCTTCCACTGCATTACTATGGTTTTCACAGGGTAGGGACTTCTATATCATTATGGTTTTCGGAAAAACCAAAGACATTCTGTGCTAGTTTTCTGTTATTCTTGAAAATAGCCAAGTTAGTTCTTACAGTTAAATGCAAATTAAAGAAAGCACTTAAATGTTATACTTATAATCCTAAATCTATTGTATCCAGTGTCATTTTTATAGCTAAGCCCTGTCAGCATATTAAAAAAAGACATTAATTGTACGTCTAAATTTATCATTTTAAAGAAAATACGTAGATTCTAAAGTGTGAGCCTAAACCTAACATACTACTGAAAGCACTTTAATTGTAAACTCTAAGCCTAACTCCACAGTTATATTTTTTCAACTTTTACTGTATGACAGGGAGACGCTTGAAGAATATTTCAAACGATGGGAAGAAATCAAAGCCGAAGTGGAAAAATTTAGCATCTACAATCTCACCTCAGAAGAGCTAGCGTTTGGAGCTAAGTTGGCTTGGAGAAACGCCTCGCGCTGTATTGGACGAATCCAATGGAGAAACCTAGAAGTACAGGATGCACGCCACGTGCAGACAACTGGGGAAATGTACGAAGCATTGTGTCATCATTTAGAATACGCCACAAACGGAGGCAGTTTAAGGTATGTATCAAGAAACATCAGAAGTTAAAAAATCTCCCGATGTTACTATACGGAGAACAATAAATATAAAGATATAATATTACAATATAGCTAGTTGCTCAGCCAGGTGGCTTAATGAAACCGAAATATCTGTTAATATGATGAAAAGAAGTACTTTGTCGTAATTAAAAGTAAACTTGATAAATCGGATAAACAGAGTAAAATTTAATGAAAGTACAACGTTTCACCATGTTAACCTGGCATCATAAGGTACGTCAACTACAATGGATGAGTTTAGTTTACCGTGGCAGTTATTTCGATTTAAAACTTTTAACCTTAGGCCAAATTAACTTTAAATAATGAATTTCGACCAAGGGTTAATAAACAGATGCTCAAAAAAGGTTTTTATATTATTTTCTGTGAATCACTTTAACTCTATTTACAATTTTCAAGCTACAGTATTTAATTTATAAATTTTGTTGTTATAATATTTTATATTTTTGAAAGTGTACTTATATTCTCTTATTTTGTTGATTACGGACATGACCCTCACGAAGTCAAGCCCTATCAATAAACACCCTTCGGAATTATCATACCTTACTGTTAAATTTACCCAATCAAAATTCAATGTACCCTTGCGCTGTATTATATATATCTTTGTAGTTTCCACTCATTCATTGTAGTTGACGTACCTGATGATGCCAGGTTAACCTGGTGACACGTTGTACTTTGATTAAATTTTACTCTGTTTATCCGATTTATCAAGTTTACTTGAAATATCTGTTATTTTTGTTTAACATTTTAGTTCTGCTTTTTGTCGTTGAAAGTCTTAGGTTTTTGCATCATTTTGGAACATATAGAATTAACGTTGCTTTTAGTTCCCTGGGTTCAATATACTTAACGTTAGAATGAAAGTATCTGTTTGTTAATCAAAATTAAACTGTTTTTTACAACACGAAACATTCATAATAATGATATTAACCTTCCCTCCGGTCAGTAGCTAAAAAGTTATGGACGACGGCAGTAACTTTGTCATATATACAAATACATTATAACAAACAGTACTTTCGTAGGTCGATGATCACTATTTTCCCGCCAAGAAGGAACGGTCAGGAGGATTTTCGTTTATGGAACCCTCAACTTCTTAATTATGCTGGATATTTTCAAGCAGATGGCAGTGTGGTCGGAGACCCAGCTAATGTCCAGTTTACCCGGGTATGATTTTTTATTTTTCTTTCGTGTATTCTGACTAATGCTTTTAATCGATTTTTATGTTTTTATGGGTTTTTTTTTGTTTGTTTTTTACATTTTTAAGTCCATTAGGCTGCTTAAATTTTATTCGAGAATCCGACCTTGAATGAAACACGGTTTTATAACCCCACCCACCGGAAAATATTTCAAGGAATCTCCATAAAAAATATAAATAAATAAAATGGATTTTACGGATTTTGTTAAACAAATAGCTATATCTGTTTATTAACCCTCAAGTTACCAATATGATTTTATAGCGTTCATTACTAGTGAACCCTCATATCAAGTAATTTTATGCTGTTGTTTTTGGTTTGTAAATATATATATTGAGGAAACAAATTGGGTGATATTATTTATTTTGTATGTAAAATACATATGGTATCCTAGCGGAATTATCTGCGATGTTGGTTGTATTGTGCGTTGTTAAAATCCCTATAAATAACAAAGTCATGGCCCCACAAGCAGCATATTGCATAACTAATGCATAAAAACTACGTTCAAAACGTTGATGCTATCGATAAATTTAGGGTTACATGGAACAGACTGACCTGGCTTGATGGTTAAGGCGCTAGACTCACAATCTGCGGGTCGTGGGTTCGAATCTCCGTCACACCGAATATACTAGCCCTTTAAGCCATGGGGGCGATATAATGTGATGGTCAATTCCACTAATAGATGGTAAAAGAGTAGCCCAAGAGTTGGCAGTGGATGGTGTTGTCTAACTGCCTTACCTCCAGTCTATCACCGCTAAATTACGGACGGCTAGCGCAGATAGCCCTCTTGTACCTTTGCGCAAAATTCAAACCAAACATATTGACCTTTGACCTCATAAACTCACTAAAATAACTTATATTAATTCTTGGTCAAGTGTTTCACGTCCTCGTATTGGGAATTCAAATCCACGACCCTCAGATTGCGAGTCAAGCACCCTAACCTCCAGACCATGCCAAGTCTTATTAATATTATAAAACAAAATATAAAAGGCATGTCTTGTTTGAGAGACGATCAGATGATCATCGTGCTTTGTAGATTCTTAGGATTGGTCTTCTTAAAGTCGTCAGCGACTTTGACTTTTGTTTGAAGTTACTTGGAAAATTCAGTTTCAAGAGAATGTTACATCATGTTTCCAAATCATCGCTAAATTAAAAAGAAGAAACAAAAAGCTAAACTTAACAAAATAAGTACTGCACTTATTCTGAAGATCACATCAATAAACACATTAAAAAGATCCTAAGTTGTCTTTTAAATGTACCTTTTTTTTTTTTTTGCAGATGTGAATAAAACTGGAGAAAGTTCGAGATAATTCCCCCAGCGAAATTTATAGCTCATGTACTAAAATGAAATATGCGCCTACAGAAAAGAGTTTCATTCCAACAAAGGGACGCTGCTTATTTTGTGTAGATTTATGCTGTTAATATCCTCACAGACTTTATATTAAAATTTTCCGCAACACATTCCGTAATTGTTTTGTCATGGCACATCCAAAGTTCTCCGGCTATTCACTAATTTCGTCACATATCCGCTACAGATATTTTTTGTGTGTGTGTGTGTTTTTTTTTTGCTATAATTTTAACAATATTTGTTTAATATGGGCACAAATGACTCGAAATAATTGAAAGATATCAAGGGAAATCACTGAATGAAATGATAAATGAAAGCATAACATCATTTATGTATGCATTTTTAGGGGAAATGTGTTAAAAAGTAACCCCCCCCCAAAAAAAAACTATCTTCAATTTAATCTTTGAAGTACTCTTAAAAGTATTTATAGAGTCCAGAATTATTGGCTGTCGGGTATATATTATGCAAGGAACATCGTACTCGTAGTTTTATTATATAGGCAATGGCGTAAGTATGCCCCCAAAATTGCAGGAGGGCCCAAAGGGTCTAACAAACTTAGAAATTGCCGAATAAATGTAGGGGGCTCATTTACTTTTATGCATCTTTTGTGCTATGCTACTGTATATATATGGCTTGGTAATTATTGTTTTACTAAGTGTAAATGCTCATTTTTATATTTCTGAACACGAAATTTAGCCATTCTTCATGTTGAAACCAAATTACTTAATTTAATCATCTTTATTCAGCGTTACTAAGTTCGTTTTGGTAAATATTACTTTTAAAAAGTTTCATAAGAATAGTTCATTTTCTCCTACTTATTAAAAATTATCCCATTCTTATTTAACTATTATTGTAACAGGTAGATGGTTCAAATTTGTAAACAATAATAGTTATTTTGTTTGTTTATATTTAATAGCAAAGCCACAGACTGGGCTATTTGCGATGTGTCAACCGTAGGCATTGAATACAAATATTTAGCGTTATAAGCCCTCAAGTTTACTGCTGAGCCACCGGGAGGTAATAACCGGTCATTATAGTTCATAAAACACGTTCAGTTTGAATAGTTTTAGTAACATTACTTCACAAAAAAAAAACAACTGACCCCTCAAGTTGTCATCCCTTATGAAAAAAAATATATTAACTTTGGGTTTGGGATATCACCTTGTTTGCACTACAGTTAAGTATCCGAAGTTAAGAAACAAATGATAAATAGTGTGCATTTCGTTCGGTGCTGTCTCCAGTGGCTCAGCGGTAAATCTACAAGCTTACAACGCAAAAATCAGGTTTCGATACCCGTGGTAAACACAGCACAGGTAGACCATTGTATAACTTTGTGCTTAACAAAAACAACCAACCGATTCATTAAGTGGTAAATAAAAATAACAAGAAAATATTATTAAAGTTGTTTTGGTAAAAATAACTTGAGCGAGAGGCATAAACAAATTACAGAAATATTATCAACTTCCTAATGTATGTAAATCTCAGTCTTTCAGATTGTATTGTTTTCTTTTGGATTTTAGACGCTTCAACTCTACATTACCACTAATAGGTTTCTACTGTTACTATTTATAATATTAGTATAAGCTATGAAAATTTGACATGAAGTCGGATTTATGTTAGTAATGATATGCCCCCTGGTGACTAAGAACGCAGAAGGTCCATTGCGATTAAAAACAGAAAAAGTAAAGACAAATTAACAATGAACATCGAAATCGAGACATTCATAAGTCTTAGTAGGTTACTTGATTTGAATATCCGAGATGTACATGAAGTTATTACCCAATACTTGATGTCACTGCCCTTTCTTTGTAGGTGTGCCAGAGACTGGGTTGGAACGGTAAAGGTGGTCGTTTCGATATCTTACCCTGGATAGTCTCGGCACCAGGAGAAGGTCCAAAGGTATACGAAGTCCCAGAAGAATTGATACTTAGAGTTAAGTTAGAACACCCTTGTTTTGAGTGGTTCGAAGAAATGGGGTTGGAATGGTATGCTGTTCCTGCTGTAGCTAATATGTTATTTGATTGTGGGGGAATGGAATTTCCTGCCGCTCCCTTTAACGGCTGGTACATGAGTAGCGAGATTGGGGCACGAGATCTGTGTGACCCCCACCGTTATAACATTACTGAGGTAAGAAAATTACAATTATTATTTTTTGTTGTTATTGTTGTTAAAAGCAAAGATACACAGTGGGCTATCTGTGCTCTACCCACCGAATATAGATTTTAGCGTTATAAGCCCTCAGTTCTGTCGCTGAGCCGCTAGAGGGCAGTTAAACAAGTATTTAGGAGTATATTAAAAAAAAATGCAATAGAGATATTCATTAAGAGAAAAATCAATCTAGCAACCATCTGAAATGTGGAACGAAACCAAAGATTTAAATTCTTCTAAACAAGTCTTCGTTTCAGATCATAGAAATATTACACATGGGCAGTTGAAATAAATGATGTTTTTCATGGCATTATGTCTGCCTGTTTCCAAAACCTTGTTGTGGACTGTGAGTAAAAACAGAGATTCTTAACAACTCAAAAATCATCCGAATTGGTGGATACTAATAAGAATAAGTTTACTAAAATTCTTTTAGTAGGTAAAAATTAAATCAAAATATTTTTAACCTTGTTTTAGATACAATAAGAGCATAACTTGTTCTCTGATAATATGCAGAAGATTAAAATAGAGCTTCGTTTCTACAGGAGGTGGCGCTGAAGATGGGTTTGGACACAACAAGCCCGACAACTCTGTGGAAGGACAGGGTGCTGGTTGAAATCAATATTTCTGTACTATACAGTTACCAGGTGACGTTTTCTGTTACAATGTGCTGAAATACCCATAACTTGCATTAGTTTTATAACATGTATATCTGATGTTTATTTTTGAATACTACAGACACTAAGACTTAAAACTATTTTCAAAATAGCCATGACAAAAGAAAGATACCTCGCTGCTAACTGAAAACCAATAACAGAAATGTGTTATTTGGAAGTTTGTTTTATTCGGATATTTTCACAAAGCTACACAAGGGCTATCTGCCTAGCGTCCTTAACTTTGAACTTATAATACTAGAAAGAATGTAACTAGTCAACAACACCTAGCACTCTTGGGCTACTCTAATCGAATAGTATGATTTGACCGTTTACTCTTATAACACACTAAAGGCCTCAAAGTGCGAAGCACGTTTTTTCGGCAATGGGACACAAGAAATGGACCATCAGATTCACAGTCAGGTACGCTAACCAGTAGGACACTCCTGGTTTGCTATTTGAAAAAGCCGTTTTCTATGTTTCTGAACTTGTCTCGGATAATCGTTTTCCTCTTTTGTAAAGTTTAACTAACTTTTTTCTTACTTTTGTTCGAAAACTGATTTTGTTGTATCATTACCCTGTCAGAGGCTTACAGCTCATTTGGTTCGTTGTCCAGAGTTCACAAAATAATTTAAAAAAACTCGCTATATTTTCTCTAACATTAGTTTCTTTTTACACTTAGGAAAATGGTTTTATATTTTTAACTCAGTATATGAATCTAGGAGTAACCCAAATCTCTTTGTGTCAGTTGAATTATGGGTAAAGATATCGTTAATAGAGAAGGTTTCCAACTGATGATTCAATATTTCTAATAATTATGGGTTTTGGTTTTCTTTTGTACTGACTTATAACATTGTGTTCGTCTTTGTTGGTTTCTTATACAAGGCTGGCTTCGTTCATTTATAAATTACTTTTAGGTCTGATCTATACTGTTAACTGACTTTTGATCAAAAGTTGAAAAAAAAAATGTCTCCACATCATTATTTAGCATAAGTGACGTAGCAGGTTTTCCACTCGGGGGTGGGGGTGGGGGCAGAAAATTTTAAGGGGAGGCCAATAAATTAAAAAGCTGAATTGGATCTAAATTTTTAATAAAAATGGTCAAATCAATTTATTTTATTAAGTGATCCAAAAAAGAGCTTATTATATACAAAAGTTGAAAAATTATATGCGATAAATATTGCTAAATTTTTCACACACACCCATCCCCCGTCTACGCCTCTGTCCAGCATCTAGTAATGACAAAAGAAAATTTTTTGGAAGTAATTTCTCTTATACAAACATATTCCTTATTATTTTATTCATTAATATGAAGGCGCATATTCTATTACATTGAATGACAATCTTGATAAAGAGTAGTAAAACTGCTTTGACAATTGAAGAAGCGAGATACGGAACAAACAGAAATCTCTGGTAGTGTATCTGAGAAGAGCGTGGCCTAAGGGTTAACATTTCGGGCTGTGAATTATAAGGCCCAATGTCTGAGCCTGCGATATGGCCATTTCATGAGCTATAGTAGATTTTTACCTAATAAGTAACAAGTAAAACTCTCAGCAAGGAAGAGAATTATATTTTGAACAAAGCTGAGAAAAAAAATACAATAACTGTTATAAAAAAATTTTTACGATAATTTAGTTAGATTTCAAACTGTCCTTATTATTTTCGGTATTATTGAGCAAGACCATTTTTGGCTTATTTCAAACAAGACCACAAAAAGTTTAGAGCTCTGACTGAACCAACTCTGTGCTTTACATGAACTCATGAATAGTGCATTCAGTTCCTCTGTTTTGAGGGAATAATTTATGAAAACTTTATTAGTGATATCTAATGTGGTAAAGAAACATCAAATAAGCTCAAATTATTGAAAATATCATTATATCATTTGACAATAGAACCATTTTCAATTATCCAGCTTAAGCAGTAATGAGGTGAACAATTTTTCTGTTTTACACACAACAAACAAAAGAAGCTTATATTCCAATCCGATGTGACTAAATCATCAAGAGAATAAGGTAAGAAATAAATGATAATTAAACTGCTTGTTTGCTTTTACTTTAATTTCGCGTTTTTTCTCTTCATTTACAATACATTTTGCTATTACTTCATCAAAATAGGTTCATATTGTCACTTGATTTACATCACATCTTGGCCGTCACTGCATCAAAATAGGTCCATGTTGTCACTTGATTTACATCACATCTTGGCCGTCACTGCATCAAAATAGGTTCATGTTGTCACTTGATTTACATCACATCTTGGCCGTCACTGCATCAAAATAGGTTCATATTGTCACTTGATTTACATCATATCTTGGCCGTCACTGCATCAAAATAGGTCCATATTGTCACTCTAACTGTTAGGATATTTCGGGGAAGCATGCCCCCTTTCAACTTTGTGGTCCTCCCCTCATACACACACTATAACTTTAGTTATAAATCTGTCTGTTACAAACATGAACTTTCTTTCCTACAGAAGCAAAACGTCACCATTGTTGACCACCATACGGCTGCACAAACTTTCATGAAACATATGGAGAATGAACAAAAGCAACGCGGAGGGTGTCCTGCGGATTGGGTGTGGATTGTACCCCCTATATCATCCAGTGTCACGCCCGTGTTTCATCAAGAAATGTTGAATTACATACTCAAGCCAAGCTACGAATATCAGGTTAGCGTCGTAATTGTTTCCATTGATGTTTTGATAAAGACAACAACAAATAAACACAACCAACAATAACAACAAAAAAACATTCCTAATGAGAATATGTAATTTCCTGTTTTTTTTTCTCATTAAAAAAACAAAACAAAAACAAAGATATTGAGCATTTAATAGTTCTAAGCAAAATGCTACTCGCATTTTTAGTCTCTTTTTTTTTGTGTAATTCGAAAAGTTTCATAGCACGTAGGTTGAGCATTTGAATCACTTTTTTTGTATTATTTCGAGCAGGAAAAAGCGTGGAAGGAGTTTGATTGGAAACAAATATCCAATGTTGTTTTGAAGTATAAATTTGCATCTGTTGCCAAGTGAGTAAAACAGTTTTGGTTAACTACAGCATATTCTAACATCTTTTGAAACTTAAAGTAACGGAATGCTTATCATTCGCATAACGAAAAGTAGTTTAAATCGGTATAATATTTCTATATCTTTTTTATTTTCTTGATGTTGTCCGTACAGAGCTTTGTGGTTCTACTCCTTTTTAATGGCGAAAGTTCGAATGAACAAAATTCGAGCCAAAATTTTATATGCTTCTGAGACTGGAAAAGCGGAGATGTTTGCAAGACGCTTGGGACGCCTTTTGGAAAACTCGTTCAACACGACAGTAAGTGTTATTTATTTTGGAACAATTTTTTTTAGTGTTAAGCCTAAACTATCCAGAGTCACTAGTTTCTAAACTTCAACCGATATTAACATTCGAAAACAGTTATTTTGTTCAGGCTAAGAGACCACTCCTGTAGACAAACCTAAGTAGCTCGAAATTACAGCAAACACTGAACCTTGATAGTATAAGAATTAGGTAAATCAGTCAGTACCTTTTAATATAAGAAACTGTTTAGCTTTCTAATGTTATAACTGTACATGTTTTACTTTACCTTTTCACTCAAGACACAAACTAGATGGGACTATTTTGTTTATGGGCGATCTCCAATAAGCCTACAACAGGGATCAAATCTCAAACTTTAACGAGAGTATCATAACTGGAATATTCACAGTTAGTAATAAAAAAAGATGGTTCCAATGCAGTAAAAATGGGTGAAAAAGGCAATTTTGTGAAGTTCGCGACAGAAAAGTAATAGTTTTAGCTTTAAATTAAGTTGACCAAACACGAAAACATTTTGGTTAAAACTAAAAATAGTGCCACCTGTTGTGATAAATTACAATATACTTACTTCACTGTCGTGCAGTGTAATGTGATACACTATTGTAATTACACCAACTGTTTGTTTTAAAAATGTCCCCTGTTGTAAAAGACTTAAGGTTAAAGGTACAAGTTTGCGGCAATATAAACACATATTGTATTGTTAGCTGGAAATATATCCCGTATTGGTTCATTGTACACATTTAATTACTCTATTCCACATTAATTTTTGTGACGTTTAACCATAATTTTTACAGGTTATATGCATGGAAGACTATAATATAGAGGACTTAACACAAGAATCACTGTTTATCGTGGTCTGTAGTACATTTGGAAGTGGAGACCCTCCGCACAACGGCAAGGTAATTATGAAACCCCGTACATTCTGAGTGCTTGAAATAATACAAAATATTTTTTGCTCTGGAAGCCAGGTGTCTTTACTCGTAATTTTTTTAACCCTAAAACTTTATCTTTCTCGAAGAATAATAATTATTATGTTTCTAAAAACAACAACAACAATAATAATAATTACGAAATAAAATGATTTTAGTTACATTACTAAGAATATATTTTTTCATGATGATTTGTGTTTAGCAAATCTATTTGTATAACTATATAAAGCGTTTGGAAAGAAAGTAGCACAAAAGTGCAGATTTTGTACGGTTTAAGTTTTTCATTTCCTCACATACAGTGTTTTTGGAGGTTGCTGTCCAAGCTGAAAAAAGAAGATGTTGCTTCCCTAAGTCACGTGAAGTAAGTAGTGGACTCCAAAAACGTGTCTAAAATTTTTCGCATTTAAGAATAATAAAGAGTTTCATAATGATACGTGAAGAATCGTATATTACGTAATCCACATAACCGAGCATTTCATTTATAGCTTACTAAGTGGCACTACGAAAGGTCAGCCATATACTAATTGGAAAGATCACTGATTGTAGCTGATAATATATGAAGTTATGAACCAAAATTTATAAGACCGATGATTTAACTGGTAAAGTAACTATAGATAACTGTTGTTCATGTATATCTCTTTAACAAAGTTGTAAAGTCATTTCACGTATTAAAATTTAATAGAATATCAAAAGCTCAGAATTATAACTATTTTAAAGGCTAGATTAAAATAAAAAAGTAAATAATTCAATATATGTATACCAAATGTCTCGATACAGTTTATCGTGCTGATCATGGTTAACATTTATTCGTCAGACTGCATAGAAACACTTAAACTTAACAGTAGGCCATGTTGACGTTTCACAGAGCACAACCGTATGTGAGAAGACAGTTTCTTGATTATAACACCTGTTTGGTGGATTACGATTGAATGATATTGATCGTGTTGAGCAAGTGGTCAGGGTTTTGTATGAAGAAATACTTGTTTATACTTTACTGAAATGTTTGTTATGAAAGGCTCGAACAAAACAACTTTACATAATTAACTTATACCTCTATAAATAAGAAAAAGGACAATTAGACGTATAAATAAATATTAATGATAATTATTATTGTGTAAATATTCTGATAGAAATGTTGTTTCATGATAATATAGGTTTGGCGTTTTTGCTCTCGGATCAAGCCAGTATCCAGCATTTTGTAACTTTGGCAAAAACGTTGATCAAACGTTAGTTTCTTTACGTGCTGAGCGCCTTCTGACGATGGGTTTAGGAGATGATCTTCGGGGCCAAGAACAAACTTTCAACAAATGGGTCAAAGAATTATACAAAGTTTGTATTTTAAAATTATTACCTCCATAATTTATTAACTTCTCCAAAGTAAAATATTAACAATATAATTTATAGGTAGATTAGGAATGGACAAAAGTCTACAACGCTCAGTATGGTACTTATTACGTATAAGTATAATGTCCATCTTTAAATTAATGATTCAACTCAAAAATAAACCATGTTTGAAGCGTTAAAAAAACGTAAATTCATTATTTTTGTTTTGTATTGTTCTTTTTGGGTGCAAGTTGGTCCTGTGATACAGCTCTGGATTTCGGAGCTGGTGAGCCGCGTGTAAGTCCGTTAGATACTACAAAATATTTCTCAGACTTTAAGTTGTAGGTGCGATATAAGAGTGACAGTCAGTCCCTTAGCGTTCATAGTGGGTTGTAGGGTGCAATTAACTGGCTACCTTGCGTTTGATCAATAATTAAAATTTAAGGACACCTGAACATAGTCTTTGTAGCTTTGCGATAAATACAAGTTATTCCTTTTATTTTTCATTTCTGTTTTAGGTTGCCTGCAACTCATACAATTTGACTGTAGCTGATAACTTTTCCAGAATTTTTCTCGAATCAGCAAACAAGTGGGATAAAGATCAATTTAGAACAATTGCAGTTGAAGGAATTGTTCATGACCTGTGCCCAGGTAAGCCCAGACTTGATATTCTTGGAGCAGTAATATTCGCAATTTAATATAAAGGTGATGTATGTAATAAATGATATATACATGTATATAATTTTTACTGAATAGCACATGTATAATACCATTTTCTTAATTTAATAAAGCATTTCGAAATGTTTTCGTTTTGTTTTGTTTTTTAATTTATTTACTATTTGTGTAAGACGATAGTATTAGGCCTAACATGGAAACTGGACGTATCCTAAACATTAGTATATGGTAATCACATAACGAATGTATCAGAACTTTTGGTAGGGATTTTTTACAACTGCACAATTATATTTTAATTATACAATTATATTTTAACTACATAATTCTATTTTAACTACACAATTATATTTTAACTTCATCATTTTTTAATACATGACGCCTTATTGCGCCTCATATATACTGCCTAGTAACAAATGATCCGAAAAATGAAAAGTATTCTAGTAAATACATTTATTTATCAGCTCTGGAATGGGAGTTTATAACCTTAAGTATGTTTAATATCAATATTTATCCACGTGAGCTTACTTATATAGGTGAATTTTCAACTGTACAAATATTTCTAGAGATTCACAATTTGTGATCAACTACACACTAGAAAAACCCCTGGAATATATAAATATTTTTGATATATATGTAATTTCTATTCTTGTTTACGGTTCCATATTGAATGACTTAGTGCTCACTGAATGTAAAATGCGGTTTTTGAAATATTATGTGACAGAGAATCCAAGTATATTTTTAGGCCCTAGGAAACCTGTCATGAAAGAACTCTCAGGTTTTCATTGGTTATCACTCATTTCGTGAACTTTAGTGTGAACAGAAAATATCATAAACCTATAATTAGCTGTTCGTTATTGCTCCAGAAAAAAAAAATATCTATCTTGATTTGTAAATTTTGGAAGTAGTAATATAAATATATCCAATAATTATAGATTCACCTAAGAATCAGAATAGTATTCCGAAAAACAAAGTTTTAATTTCAATCATAGATGTATCTCTACTTTGAAGAAATCTACTTTTATTAACTTCCTCTTTTAATGTTTAAAACGAGGCATACAGAGATAAATTTTCAATGTATTTCTGCTGGCCTATCTTTTCGAGTGAGTGAAATACTTACAAAATCTAGAATTCTGTCAGTCGTATAAGATTGGATTTTATGTTGTGCTTAAAGCTAGATAATATATATATAGTTTGTAAAGTAAAATGTTCGCTAAAGACGGGATATTGTTTCCTGTAGGTGAACCTGATCAGGTTACAATTACATGCGACTCTAGTTGCTCGGCGGCAAGTCTGAAGGCTTGTAATGTTAAAAAACACAAACAAAAAACGGGTTACTCGTAGTGGGCACAGAACAGATAGCTCATCTTGTAGTTCTGTGCTTAACAAACAAACAAAGTACACGTATTTCTTCCACCTTTCCGTGAAGTTCATCGTTGCAGTTCACTTAAATGCAGGGGTTGTATTAGGAATCCAACTGTGTACAGCTGCTTTAAAAACACCAGTTGTTTGAGAGTATTGTCCACGCATGCCGTACCTAAGAGGATCAAAAATAAATCATAGCGTGCTAGGTTAGGAGGGAGGGGGTTATATGCATTCGAAGATCTCAATTATAGCATTTTCAAGGATAACAGTATGATAACATCTCACCTTTTGATTCAAGGGACACGTAGTATATAGAGTAGTTTGATGAATTTCGGGCAAAGCTACACGAGGGCTATCTGCGCTAGCCCTCCCTAGCTTAGGAGTGTAAGACCAGAGAGAAGGCAGCTAGTCATCACCACCCACTACCAACTCTTGGGGGTACTCTTTTCCCAACGAACAGTGGGATTGACCGTCACTTTATAACTCCCCACGGCTGAAAGGGTGAGCATGTTTAGTGGGACGGGTATTCGAACCAGCAGATTGCGAGTCGAGCACCCTAACCACCTGGTCATGCCGGGCCGTATATAGAGTGGAACTGAGGTTTATCAGTGTCGTAATATACAGTATATTGTTGTATGTTTTCATCCTTTTCGTCAAGAACATGAATACATTATTCCAAACTAATGTCACTTGTATTGTGCGCGCCACATATCGTGGAAACACAAAACATATGACACCCAAGTAGCGAAGAGATATTGACTTACTAACACCGCCATTCAATGGCCGAAATGTACTTGTATCAGTCGCAAGCGCAAGTAAATCCTTTTTTTTATCTAACAAATCCCATTAGCTTGATATTTAAATACTGTTAGCTAGTCACCATAAAATAGCCACTGAGTGCTGTTTAATAAATAATTTGTAATCCAGTTTAGTTACAGAAATAAAATAAATAAAACTACGTTTTGTACATTACGTACGTGGTGTTATAGTACTCATAACGATGTTCATGTAATACTACCAGATCTCACAATCGTCCATAATAAGAACATACAGCCATGCAGGGTCTTGTCCAGAGTTCGACTTCAACCAAAATATTCCGAGTAAGTATGCCTCATAGTTACTGTGTAAAACCGGCCTTTAGAATTAACTACTTTTGAAAGTTAACATGTATAACTATGTCTTCTATTTTTAGAAATGGCTTATATTTTGTCCTGACTGGAGTAATACTGACATTTAAAATGTTTTCTGATTGTTTCTAGTCATACAGCTTCGTTCTGACGTTAAAATTAATATTCTATGTGATCTGATGTCTTACCTTTACCTGAATAATCTCTGCTTAGATTGAAAGCTACCTTCATTCTTTGCATTCAGATAAAGTATATATGTTAGATACACACGATTGTTTCATTTAAATTTAATAGTTATTTGCAAGTTTGCTTAGGTAACTGTTTACGAATCAATTTTTGCGTAGTTCAGTTGTTGTGAATTGACGTATCATAGTTTGTAGAAAGTTCTAGGCCTCAGTCGGACAATATATATATACATAGGTGAACAAGTTAGTGCAAGTAATTGAGTTAGTGGAAGTGAAGTTATACTGCATGTGAGTTTAGCTTTAACGAGCGATTTCTAAAGTGAGTTTCACAGCTTCTATTGTAATAATAGAGATAGAGAATAGTTTCTCTTGTAAATGGGTGTTCTAAAGTAATTGAGCCCGCCTTTGTGGTCTTTGACAAAAGGGAGACAATTATTTATAGCTCTGGTTACAACTATGGTAACCAACAGTTATAATGGTGATTTTAAAGTGAGCATCACAGTATTGTATTGTAATAACAGAGTAGAAGAGAATAATTTGTTTTGTCAAAGGGTGTTCTAAAGTAATTCAACCCGCCTGTATCGAGTTTGGCGAAAAAGAGACAATTATTTAAAGCTCTAGATACAACTGTACATACGTTTGACTTGTTTTGAATATATTATTTCCAAACAAGTGGATTGTGTGCTGTCCATTTACTGTTCAACTTTATTGCTAACAAATCACAAACACCTACTGTAAAGAATTCGGCCCCCATAAAACTGACAATACCGTAGTTGTAGAGCAAAGATTACTGCGGAAAATTAAGTCAATAATTTCACATATTTTGTAAGATTTTTTTCCTTTGATGGAAAGGTTAACTAATGTAACTGATTCAAATCAGTTTGCTGAAACTATGATTTCAGGCGTCAAACAATCTTAGTGCGATTGAACACAGAAAAAGCCACGAATTTCACATACGAGCCAGGAGATCACCTTGGTGTCTTTCCCGTTAATCCATCAAGTGTTGTCAACCGGATCATAGCATTTATGGATCCTTTCGAACGGTTAGAGGAAAATATAATTAAAGTTGAGACACTTGTGGGTGAGTTTTGAATGCAAATATTGTGCTTTGACATTAATGGTTTGTAAAATGTTCACTTCAGTGTGTCTTATTTTTCATTTTATTTGATGCATGCTGTTATTTTGATAGTATATAATTTTTACTTTCCTGAGCTGAGGATAAAGGTGTTGCCTCATGGTAGCCATTAGGTATATAACATGGAAAATTTTGTGTGTGTGTGATATTCAGTTTTTAACTCTTGAACTAAAAACCGTTACATGTACTCCTACCTACCCACAATCGATTCATATTATTTGTGGTGTATACATTTTATAATTCTGGTCATGCTTTAATATTATTTAAACCCTTGATTATTTTAACATTAAAAAATGTTTTGCAAATTGCACTACAGTTTTGTAACAATAAGAAAATATTTGTCAAATTTTATTGCAGTTTTCTAACAATAAGATCATATTTTACAACTTGTTTTACAGTTTTCTGATAATAAAAAATGTTTTTCAAATTGTATTACAGCTTTCTAACAATAGGAACATATTTTCCAAGTGGTATTGCGGTTTTTCAAGAAAACCAAAATGATTTTGAAAATATCCTGATGTTAAGTACAGTTGATGCGTTAAACATGTGTTTATGCAGTAGTTTTAAGATCAATTGCCCTATTAACGAGCTTATTCAAACTAATAATCCAGATGGTAGTTGGCAGCAATACAATCGACTTCCGCCTTGCACTATACGCACAGCCCTGTCTCGGTATTTAGATATCACAACCCCTCCGGCTCCTACGTTATTGGAACAACTTGCATCCACAGCTGAAGACAAATGTGATCAAGATAGACTTAAACAATTGTGTGAGGTGAGCTTAATAAACTTATTTTTAATTGAAATAGTGTTTTTTGTTATACTGACCAGTAGATAAACAACCGATTTATCAGATTTCCAAAATATTTACTGTATTAGATTCTATATATTATTAATTACATAGAAATGCCCTCGTGAAACCTTGAGAGTCTTTGTGTGGAAACGTATAACATTGTGTAGGATTATGGAGAGTCAATGAAAGTGAAGACTGTAAATAAGTTCTGATCTTCCGAATATCCGAAAAACTCCAAGTTATCAGCAAACTATATTATAATTACTTTAATTCGTGGAATATTGTTATTCAATTGTTGCGTCATTTAAAATATTAACTTACTGGCTATATTTACAAACCCATATTGTAACAACTTTTACAAAATTTGCTCAAGTTGTACTAATGAATTCTCCAGGACGTAGAAGAGTACGAATCGTGGAAGATGTTCAAATACCCATCATTAGCGGATGTCCTTGAACAGTTTCCTTCTACACACGTAAGTGCTGCCTTTATTCTCACCCAGATACCATTGCTCCAGCCTCGTTACTACAGCATCAGCAGCGCTCCTAAAGCTAAAGAGAACGAAATACACCTTACAGTGTCATTGGTCAAGTTTTGTACAGAAGGTATGGAAAGTTTATTTGGTTCTTCTTTGTTTTTAATGTAAAGCGAAATTTACTTATCTGTTGTATCCATCGCAGAAAATCGAACTCCGGATTCTAGCGTTGTGAGTCCATAGACTTACCGCTGTATCACCAGCGGACAGGTTTGGAAAGTAATCACGAAGTGAGTGTACACATCGTGGTCACAAGTAAATAGACACCACCTTTTCAGAAAAAAATGAAAATTTTCAGTCATATTCACATGAATTGATATATTTATAATTTAATTAATATCTAGTAGATCTTCCTTTCGCTTCGTGGAGTTCGTTGATCCTTTGGGGCATCGTGAGGATCATCTTGTCAATTTTAGATTGTGGGATTTTTGCTCACTCTTGCTTCAAAACTTGGAGTAGATCGCTCTTCGAAGTTGGTGTTTTTGGTTGTTTCTTGACTTGCCGGTCGAGTATGGCCTAGAGGTTTTCGATGGGGTTCATGTCAGGAGATTGGCTCGGCCAGGGCAACCTTCTGGATACCATTTTCTTCCTGCCACTTTTGGATGTTTTTAGCAGTGTGACACAGTGCTGCATCTTCCTGAAACAACGTTGTGTTCTTGTCCACGAAACCCGAGGAATAAAGTGGCAATAGTCCTTCCTCCAATATTTCGACGTATTTCGCACTCCACTAAGCTCGATCTCCCACCAACCCAAACA